ATCACCAGACCAGAGATTTAAATTAACGAAGAGATTCTCTCATTATTTCATGCTTTTGAATAGTAACTACATTCAAATCAATATGTTGTTCTCCTTCTCATTAAGAGAGGTGTTTGTTGTGTTGGGAAAGGGAACAAGGCACAAATTTTCTTTACTAAATACTTCCAGCCTTGGACGACGCAACCTCTCATGGGGTGATGTGAACAAGATTCCTTGTGTCACCCAGTGAAAGCCAAAAGAAGAGAGACATTTGTGATTATTTTACCATTTCCAATTCCATATTCTAGAAAACAATACCTCTCCACATTAGGTTATGCACATGTAAAATATAAATTTCTCCCACTTTATGTTAAGAGGGAAAAATAAAGTGATCACTAGAGGGTAGAGATTTTGGATCAATTGGTTAGATATGATGCCACAACTTTGATTAGATTATAACAGGCGTGTGATCTTTAAAGAGGGATCACTTTGTAGGAGTGAAAGGAGTAGGGACTCCCTCTAAGTTGGGTCAAAGACACTTCACATGTCACCACATGTAATGTGTATTCACAGGAATGCAATAAAATATTTTGAACAATATTTTTGTGATTAATTATAATAGTTTTATTAATTATTGGGGCAGCCCCAATTGTTTTATTTTTCTAATTGAAATTAAGGCCTATCGTTTAAAAACTTAAATTAATTATACATGAAACAGGGGACTCAATCAAGTCATAATACAACATCAAATATAATCTTACTGAGGTTTAGTGACAATGCAATCATCTCTAGCCATAAAATTTTTGGATAATTCAAAATTTGCTAATCAATTTGTAGCCGTGTTACCTTCGTAAAACACACGTTAAATCTTAAATCACTTATCATCGAGACATCAACTCTTTAGCTCTGGTTATCAAAGCAAAGTTTGCATATTACTGAGGTATGAGATTAACCGACATTGTTAATCTTATGCTGTATTGATGGACTGTTTCGGTGATGCATGAAGCTTCATTGAAGCGATGCACAAGTAAATATCATATCATTGTCATAAATTGTAGTATCAAGTAAGAGATGAATGCTGGAAAGGAACTACAACCTATGGATGTAGGACATCAGCATCACACTTATCTACCCAATTCTTTTCCAAAACCATAGAGTCAGCAAAATACACCCGCTATATCTCCTTGCATCAATCACTGGGCAATTAGTTCTTCAAATTTAGAGCTTTTCTTCTCAAGGGGAATTCAAGCGAATAGATTTTGGGTTGAAGTCTTACATTTTTGTATTGATGAACTGATTGAGACAAATATCTTTCCTTGTCCAGTCATGTAATTTTCACCTTAGATGTAGACTACCTACATTTAGACTAAATAGTATGCCCTCATCACATCATTATGGGTCAGCTGAAAAGCGTGCGATGTTATGCTACAAAGTTTGATAAAGTAGATCTCATTTGAAAACAACAACAAAATGTCTTGCATTTGTCAAAGAATATCCATCCTTCTGACCAAAATTAAATTTGCCCGCAAGGGGAGGCAATTATTATTATTTTTTTATTAACATGATTTTTCAGCTATCTCAATTAATTTTATAGGTTATAAAATTAATAATTATATATATTTTTAATAATTATTATATTAATAATTATAAAAATCAAACTTGAATTTGGGATAATTATTATATTAATAATTGAACATGAATTTGAGATTAATTTTATAAATTTTAAAATTAATAACTATTTAAATTAAATTTAATGATGATCATATTAATAATTATAAAATTTGAATTTGAGATAAAAAAACAAAAACAAATTTATTGTTTCCAAGCTCTTACCGGCCGCTATTAGATAGTTGTGCTTGTTTTTTTTGTGAGTGGGATTGGTGGAGAGGGAGTTGGCGGAAGAAGAAACTTGCCGACCGACCAAGGTTGCTTGTAGAAGAGGTTTAAGAATCATTCATTCATCAAAGCAATGAACATTCTGCACGTCACCTACTAAGAAGAGCAAGTGAGAATGTTTTGCAGTTGTACATTGCTGACTTTGATGTCCCTATGTTTTGTCAATAATGGAGGCCTGGTCGTGTAGGTAGGCTACAAGCAATTCGTAACACAGGTCCTTTGTACCTTTTTTCCCCGTGAAAGTCAATCATACCAAGAGGTCCTAGTAGTTGTTTTTTCAAAGAAAGAAAGAAAGAAATCTTAATGTAAGTTTCAGGATGATAGTAGGTTCATATGAAGACAAAGTACGTGCGTTTGTTGATGATAATATTAATACCGTATTCCAGAAGTAATAATCTGAGAGCCCACGCAGCCTGCTCTGGGGCCTTTATGGTTAAAAGAGGACAAAGGAATAAAAACGATTGACGAGATTTTTGGCTTGCAGTTTTTGGATCCCAATCCTGATCGAACCTAAACAAAACTGAGAGGACGAATGCTTGTCAGGCCTCAAACGAAATACCAACCCAGCAATTTTCACCATCTCATTAACCCTTGAGCAAACTAAAAGAAAAGTTCTTTGAAAAGATAACATGAAAGAACTTGATGCACTTCATATCCTAGTTATAAGACGTAACTCAAAGGTCAACTCGGCTCAAGGCGGTGTCATGGGTTGCTATATGAATTAACAAGCCATCATGAACTACTAGTTGTCGTGGTTGCATGGTGTCATGGGTTTATAGAAACAAATTTAAAAATAATATTATAAATCATAATATTTAAAAAAAATTAAATTGTAAAATTAAATTTTTAATCAATTTAATATTAAAAAATAAAATAGATAAATAATTTAAAAAATCATGTAAGAAATATTGCAACAATCTATAGTGTTTTGTGAGGAAATATACAATTATAATTCTTAACCAACTTAATATAAAAAATATAAAAAATTATAACAAAAAAATCATGCAGAGAACACTTTAGCAATCAATAATGTTTTAAAAAAAAATACAAAATTAAATTTTAATCAGCTTAGTATAAAAAAATAAATTCAACAATAATAATTTAAAAAAATTAATAAAAAAACATGGAGAAACATTGTAATAAAAACAAATCATAAAAAATACTGTAATAATCTACAATTTTTTTTTCTTGCTACAATACGATAACAATCCACAAAAAAAAAATCATATAGAAAAACATTGTTGCAATCAACAGTGTTTTAAAAAAAAATTATAAAAATAAATTCTCAACTAACTTAATATTAAAAAAAATCGATAAAAATTTAAAAAAAATACAAAAATATAATTTTGGAAAAAAACAAAAAACAAAAAATAAAACATGCAAGGAAAGCTAAAGCTAAATTTCCAACCAGTTTCATATTAAAAAAATAAATTCAACAAATAGAATTTAAAAAAAAACACGTGAAGAAATATTATAGCAAATTAAAAATTATATAGAGAAAATATTATAACAGTATATAATATTTTTTATAAAAAAAACTACAAAACTAAATTCTTAACCAGCTCAATACAAAAAAAAACCTCGAAAATGATCATTTTAGAAAAAATTAATAAAACAAAAAAAAATCATATAAAAAAACATTATAGCAATTTATATTTTTTTTAAATGATATGACTAAATTCTCAACCAGTTTAATATTAAAAAAAATCAACAAATAATTTAAAAAACATATTTTTTTTAGAAAAAAGGAGTAAATCATGAGAAAAAAGACAAACATGTTAAAACAAAAATAAAACAAGAAACATAAAAAAACAAAATAAAAATATTAATATAATGAAAATAAAAGAAGTGGAAAAAGCTATGGTAATTTCCCCTTATCTTTAAAAGTAGTGTTAAAGATTCAAAAAAATTGAAATAAAATCATTGTGATAAATAAATAAAACCCGGTTCAAAGTAAAAACCTTGCTCAACCAACATGTCAGGCCTCTGACCACGCTTCATACCTGGCTGGCCAGAAGTACTTAATTCATGGTGTATAGCTGGAAGTACGTGATACCACGAGGGATCTGAGAAATGAAATGATGTCACCCTGTCTAAAGCAGTCTTAGCGTTCCAGGATAAGTGGTAACTGGTAATTGAAGTTTCCATTTCCTCGACATACAAGGATCACCTCGTATCCTTTTTAAGATCATCTTGACAACTAAATTCTCAACCAGTTTAATATTACCTCGTATCCTTTTTAAGATCATCTTGACAATCTGGTTTTACTACTACATTTGCAATGCCAAGCCTTGAAAATAATATCCTTCCACATTCAGACTGTGGTACAAAAGACGCAGGATTCACGATATAATAGCCCTCAGTTTTTGGATCTCTATTATTCACGAAATTGGCTGGGAGGGTAGAGATGGCACATAATTTTGCCAGGCAAAGAAGGGTTCTAAGAGATAACCACCAGCAATAGCCACCCAGCAGTTTTCAGCTTTCACAACTTCGTTAAAACTAGAGCAAACTAAGAACGGTGTTGAAAGAATCACCTGAAAGAAAGTGCAGGGCATCGTACCTGGCTAGTGCAGCGCCGTACGTCCCTTATCTCTCCCAGGAAATGCCTAGAGTTAAGCCATCACAAAATTCTTAGATGTATACAGTAAGGTTCTATAAAACATAATGACTAGCAGACAAGGTACATGAACCATCATAGGAAAACTGAATGATCGTGGACCAACCACACTGAAAGTACAGTATGGAAAGCAATTAAAATATGATGCCAAAAGAAGGGATCAGGAAACTGCAATTAGATCTCCTCTAAAGGCTAAAGCAGTTCCCAGATTCTTTTATAGGTGGATAACTCCAGTTCCTGTTTCCTATGATAAAATGGTCCACCACTGGCAGATCAGAGACTCTGGTTTTCCAACACAAATATCCCAACAAATCCTTGAAAATAATCTCCTTTCACATTCACAGTGCTATATTGCATCACTAAATCAACACCTAAACAAGGAACATAAAAGACATGCTCATTTCAGTCGTTATGAATTCACACAGTTACATGGTCTCCTGAGCAACCTTTTTGCTAAAAAGGTAGACAATATTGAGGAGCGATCTAAAAGCAAGGGAGCCACGTATAATAAATAGCATGCACTGGATCAAACATGCCATCAGCATGCATAGAAAATACAAAAAGAGTCAATAGTAAATGATGCAATCACAGTCTATGTTGAAAAATCTTTACAATGTGAAGAAACCATTTCAGTTGTTACATGGAAGTGATTGGACGAACTCAAAATATTACCTAAGCATAAATAGACCTAGCAAGACATCACAGACCAAAAAATGCTAAAAAAAACTTGCAATCACAAGCAGCCTTGAGAGTATCTTATGTTCTATCTCACTCATTTCAAAGTCAGCTTGCAGTGTTGAGGCCCTCTTTTTTGTCAACTGCAGAAGCACCAGCTGTGGACATTTTGGAAGGTTGGGATTCAGAACATGCCTTCAGGACAGCTTCATTCTGTGTAAAAGCATGATTCAAGAGATAAGATATGAATATTTACCAAAAGGATTTAAAGGATTCAATGGCATTCATTAAAAATTAAAGAAGAAAGAAAGAGCACAAAAGCATGTGATGCTTCAGATTTTAGTTTGAAAGAGCACAGCAGTAGCAAGTTGTTCTTAGAAAAATATGTCTCTGTCATTTATGGAAGCAAGCGCTAATGTAAAGCTCTAAACTAATCTGAAAGCATCTCAAACAAAATAAAAGCATCAGCATGTTGAATTTGAAAAACAAACTTCAAGTAAGAATAACACAGATGAAATGGTGTAATTGTGTAAAAATAGAAAACAAGTATCTGTATGAACACGGCTTAGTTTTAAGAATACAGAAGCCATATATATATATATATATACACATAAATATATGTATATATTTGTTTTATTGATTTAAGTGACATGGCTGAAGAAACTAAATTCATGAGTTACATCACGAGGCTCTGGAAGAGAATTGATAGGAAAATGTATAAAGGATAGAAGAAAGCTCAACATGGTCTTTGTAGATAGAAAAGGCATGTAATAAGTACTCGGAAGAACTTTACAGTAAATCATGGAGAAGAAACAGTCTCCATAAAATACATAAAATTTATAAGTGAATACTTTCATTTGACAAAACAAGAATTTGTGGATAGAAAGAAACAAACACACAAAGCTAAAGTGGAGACCAAGTGATCCTTCAAATGAAAAAAATAAAAATAAAGACAATATCCCAAATAAAGATAAATAAAAGAACACGCAAATCCCTCTGAATATTAGAAATGCCTCTAAATGCAATAGCTACATTACACCAAAAACATGAAGGAAAACTATCCTATCCTACAAATCAGGTAAAAGGACCACAAAACGGTATTCCTTGCAATCATTCTCCGTGCCGATGTCCATTAAATATAGAAAAAACATATAACCAGAAATGGGGAAAACCAAAAGTTAGATTTGGGGATCAACGACAACAACAACAACAACAAGAAGAAGCGAATCGAGGTTTTTACGCATTTTTAACTCTACTGAACCTATGAATAAGAGTATTAAGTGTGATTACATTCAATTAATCAAGACTTGTCACTTTAAGTACATACCTACCTGGGTTCGGTTAAAATTCAGTGAAATAATTTATGTTAATGAGAACTTTATGACAAATAAAAATTAGGAAATTGAAGCAAAAATTGAAAACTCTAAGAACATATTAAAACCCTAGGACTGAACATGCGATTTGATTTTTCTTAGACAGAGAAAAAGAAAGACCTGCCAAACCCTAAGGAGGCGTTTCTTGGCGTTGGCCTTACGAGTGGTGGTGAGTTTAATTCGTTTCCAAACAAGACCACCAGAGTCATGCTTCTTCACTATCTCCATAACTCTCGTCCCCCAAAACGCCCCCGCCCCTACCATTCCTCTCTCTCTCTCTGCTTCCTCTTTCTCTTTTAGCTAAGCTACGCAGTTTCTTTCTCTGCTTGCTTTGTGTGCTCGTCTGCCCTGCTGCGCTACACCTAGAGGAGCATGCGAGAGGGAAACGCCGTCGTTTCAGTTAAATGTAGCTGTGTTTTTTTTACCACCATCTTCTCTTTTCTTCGCTTCTTGTTTGTAAATTATATATATATAACCTTTGCTCTGCTGGGTCGATTTATTTTTTTTAATAAAAAACAAAATCAAAGCGATGCAAGTGTTAAAAAAAGCTAAAACAAATTGAGAATGAGGTTATTAACTTAATAGGATTTAATTAACTCCATGATTTAAATAATATAAATAAATAAAAATATGACAATAATAAATAAGAAATTGATAAAAATTTTGATAATAAAAAAAGATTAAAAAAAGAAATCAAGTCCAGCATGTCAAATATATAATCTAATTATAATATCAGAGTAATCTAATAAAAAATTTAAATAAAATCATAAAACTCAATCTAATATTTAAAGGTGAAGTCTAGAAAAAAATAAAATAAAAAAGCAATGAAAATAAATTTGTGTCAACCCAAGTTATCTCGCCAACCACATGGAAAGAAAATAAAAGAAAACATAAAAATTAATTCCTAATAAATTAAATATTTAATGATAAAATTAAAAAAAAATTAAAAAAAATCAAAAAAAAAAACCGCTAGTCTAAAAAACCTGTGATACCGGTCATAAGCCTAAAATGCTAAGATATAAAATTAAAAAAAAAAAAAAAAACCCTCCAAAACAAAAAGAAATGACAATTAAAATGATGAAAACTAAATTTAATACAAAAATAATATAATATAAAATTTTAATGGGAGGAATTAAAAATAAAATTCAATGAAAAGTGATAAAAAAAACAAAAATAAAAAGAATAAGGATAAAATTTTAAATTTAAATAAAATCAAAGTAAAAGGGATAAAAGAAAAAAGAAAAATTAATCCAAAAGGGAATAAAAAATAAAAAAATTAAAAAATAAGAATTAAATTGTATAAAAAATAAATGAAAGGACACATGGAAAAGTTAAATGGATCCTTATTCACATGTTAAGTTAAATTATTAGCTCTCGTTTATTTGCTGGAAAGTAGTTTTATTTTAAAAAGTGAATTATTTTTTGATATTCACTTACTCTGTTAAGAGAATTCTTAACAATTGATACCACAGTCAACTTTTTCTGGCCAAAAGAAAGCTGATACTATTAAACAATTAACAATGGTGAAGAATAATCGAATTAAAGCTTTAGAGCATGGAAGGAAGGTTGATGAACAGATGCAACCTATACTCGAGAAACTTCAAGAAATGACAGAGGATCTTAATAAGAAGTTGGATCAAGTCAATTTATAGTTGGAGACTATAATGGTTCCTCTCAGGCAATCATAGGAGGCCAATAAGTTGATAGAGAAGGAAGGACTCACACAGTTCCGAGGAGGTTAATCTCCAACCATAGGGAATCAACCAGTTGAAGGCATGGGAAATCAAGAAGTAGCAAGAGTATGGTACAACGTAGCATTGCATAAGAGCATCTCTAATGCAAAAGGTTAAATTGAGGAACTAAATTGATAAAATAATTTTTTAAATAGTAGTAGAAAATGAGTTGCAAAATAACTTATTAATATTTTATTAGAGAATTCTTAACAATTGATACCGCAGTCATTCCATTATTTTCTCTCCAATCAAAAATATATTTCATTAAAATTCATCATGAATCATTCTAAATTTAATTTTTATGATATTTTTTATTTTGATAATGATACTCCTATGTTCGCTTTTCAAGTTATTGTTGTTGTGGTTACTGAAGAAGAATCGAATAATCAAGGGCGGAGAACGGGGTATCGTAGCTCTATTCTTGGCCATAATATTGTCAATCCTAATAAATAGTTTTTTTTATTATATGTATTCTAATGATAAAAAACTATTTAGAAAAGTTATTTATATTTTAATACAAATAACAAATATAAAAATAAGGACCAAAGTTTAATATAAAAATTAAGATTTCAAAAAAAAATTAGAATGAGTCATCATCTTTTTATTCGAATCGCAAATGCAGTGGAAGCTCATAATCCATATTTCAAAAAACGGACAGATGCTTTTAGTGTTTTTAGTTTATCTTGTCTTCAAAAGGTAACTGCAGTTACCTAAATTTTTTATAAAAACACTTTTATGTAAATTAAGCTAAATTTTTCTTTAATTAAAATTTCTGTAAAGTATTTTTTATCTAAATTTTTTATAAAAACACTTTTCTGTAAATTAAGCTAAAAATGTTTTTAATTGAAAAGTATTTTTCATTGCCAACTTTTCTAATAACAAATAAACACATAAAAAAAAAAAACCATCAATATTTTAAATTTTCATTTTCATTTTTCTTTTGGTGATTGATATCTAGGGGCACCAAACGAGGCCGATATTTGTTGATTATTATTAATTAGAGAGTAGTATGGATTTCTAGGGATGTTAGAGAGTATTGATTGTATGCATTGAAAATGAAAGAAAAATGCTTTGAAAAAATAACCGCCACTATTTTAAATTTTAAAATTTTAAATTTAAAAAAAATAACCGTCAACATTCTAAGATTTCAAAATTTAAAAAAATAATCCATCTATAAATATTCTCATATATTTTAACATTTTTTCTCATCATTCCATTGTTTTCTCATCATTCCATTGTTTTCAACCAACTATAATTCTAGAGGCGATGGCTTCACAAGATTTTTGGATATGGCATGCTTTTTTTGGAATGCCTGGATCATTAAATGATATTAATGTTCTTGATCGGTCATTTTTCAAGTTATTGTTGATGTGGTTGCTGAAGAAGAATCGAATAATTAGAATGTTCTTAATCGATCATCTATCTTCACTGTACTTGCTGAAAGTCGTACTACTCCTGTCAATTATACAATTAATAAGCATAAATATATAATGAGATATTATTTAGCAGATGAGATTTATCCTAATTGGTCAACATTTGTTAAGAAATTTCAAAAAAGATTTAGAATGAGTCATTGTTTTTTCCTTTAGATAGCAAATGCAATTGAAACTCATAATCTATATTTCAAACCAAGGACAAATGTTTTTAGTATTCTTGGTTTATCTTATCTTCAAAAGGTAACTGCAATTCACAGAATACTTGCATATGGTATTCTTGCTAGGCAAGAGTCTACAAGAAAAGATATAGAGTGGGCATTTAAGGTGCTCCAATCTCGTTTTGTAATTATATGTGGACCTGTTTGATATTGGGATGAAGAAACGCTTGTAAATATTATGAAATCTTGCATAATAATACATAATATGATTATTGAGGATGAAGGAGCAATAAACCTTGGATTTGACCATGGACGTGAAGTCAATTCCTTTATATCAGTGTCACATGGTGAAATACCGGAACCACATGATTTTCTTCAAACTCATAATCGAATTATTGGTAACTAAGAGCACCAAACAAGACTGATATTTGTCGATTATTATCAATTAGAGTAACTAGCTTTCAACTATAAGAAGATTTGGTTGATCATTTATGGAAACAATATGATAACGATTAGAATCATTAGCTTTGAACTTCTTATGTCATCATAATTTTCAAGTTTTTTATGTTTTTTTTTATTATGGTTGTTATTTTTTAAGTTAATTAATCCTACTTAATGTTGTTAAGTGTTAAAAGAACTTTAAAAAAATATTATGAATTGATACCACTTTTATAAAAATATTTAAAATAACCAATAAATTTCTAAATATTTAATTAAAAATACATTACATTAAACAATAAATAAATCTAGATAATTAAAAATTAAAACCCTCTTTTGCATAATTCCTAACTTTCTATTTTGAAAATACACTGCAAAAATTAGATCCAAATTATAAATATTTATTTTCATAATTTTTCTTCTTTCTCAATCCTATCCAATTATAGTTTCTCTTGACTTTGTTGAATTATCATAGCTTGTTGCACTAATATAATTTTTCTGTCTTGTTTCTTCTGATATTTAATTTTAACAAGAATATCCCTGCATTTTTGTAAGAGATTTGTTACATTTAAGTTGTTCTTTTACAGCCTTCTGACCAATTGGTCTATCTTGATAAATCAACGGTTCACTGTCTTCTCTTAAATTAACAGAATTAGGCGTAGATGGAGCTGATGAAGTCGCACTTGCATTGACATGAGTTTTTTATTTCTAGTTTGACCTTTGATGTGAACTTACATGCTCAAATTGCCATTTGAGTTCTTTTCTTAAGATTACCCAACAATATTCTAGTTGAAATTGTTTGCCACTGCAAGAAACATATATTTATCAAGCATCATTAATCTGGTAGGTAAAAAATTAGAGAAATTAAATAATATTAAAATATATGTTAAATAATTTAACATGACAATGAATATTAAAATTACCCTTAATTCTTCGGTCATTTCACTTTGCTAATGATTTTCAATTTGAGTAACAAATCCAATAAATTTACCGACTTTTCTATTTATTTCTTCCCATCCATTTGAGATGCTTATTTAGGAACGATTATTCAAGTTTCCTTCATTCTCTACAAAGTAAGCATGTACTCGAGCCCAGAACTGTTTTGTTTATTATTCAACTCCCGTAATTGGATCTTTGCTTGTATTTAACCATCACCTATCTTCGCTACACTTGCTGAAGATCGTACTGCTCCTGTCAATTATACAATTAATGGGCATGAATATACAATGGAATATTATTTAGCTAATGAGATTTATCCTAATTGATCAACTTTTGTTAAGACAATCTCAAGGCCATTAGGAGTAAAGAGAAAAATATTTTGCAAGTAAGCAAGAATCTACAAGAAAAATGTAAAGCGGGCATTTGGGGTGCTCCAATCTCGTTTTGCAATTGTACATGAAGAGTGTAAAAAAAGTACATATTCAATGTCTAGTAATTTTATAGTTTACATATATGTGAATTAATAACAAGCATTGCATCCTACTTGTTCTAATATTACAATTTGACCTTTTTTTGGAACTAAGAGAGGATTGATCATGAACGTGAAGTTAATTCCTTTATATTAGTGTTACATGGTGAAATACTAGAACCACAAGATTTTCTTGAAACTCATAATCGAATCAAGGATAGAGTAACTAGCTCTCAACTACAAGAAGATTTGGTTGAATATTTATGGGAACAATATGGTAACGAGTAGAATCATTAGCTTTGAACTTCTTATGTCATCATAATTTTCAAGTTTTTTTTATGTTTTTTTTTCCATTATGGTTATTATCTTTTAAGTTAATTAATCCTACTTATTGTTGTTAAGTGTTAGAAGAACTTCAAAAAAGTATTATGAATTGATAC